AGGGATATAACAAGGAAAGTGCAGGGAAATGCAAAATACATACTTAGATGTTCTGGTTCTGCATATGGCTCCTTTGGTTAAAAAAAAAAAACAATAAAAAAAAGATGTTCTGGTTCTCTGTTTGGATAGTAGATTCAAGGTTGTTCATGTTATTACTATATGTTGTAACTAACACACATTCTTTTGTATGTAGCAAAATTAGACTGAAAGCTAATATATTTTTTAATTTATGGATACATATTAGTTGTACACATTTATGGGGTATGTGTTACATTTTGACACAAGCATATAATATGGAATGATCAAATTTGGGCAACTGGGATATCCATCACTTCAAACATTTACCATTTCATTTTGTTGGGAACATTTCAAATCTTCTCTTCCAGATATTTTAAAATATACAGTAAGTTATTGTTATCTATGGTTGCCTGATTGTGCTATTGAACACTAGATTTTATTCCTTCTATCATGCAGTAAGTTATTGTTAACTATAGTTGCCTGATTGTGCTATTGAACACTAGATTTTATTCCTTCTATATAGCAAAGATTTCTTGAGTAAGACCTCAAAAACACAGGCAACCAAAGCAAAATTAACAAATGAGATTCTATTAAGGTAAAAAGCTGCTATACAGCTTAGAAAACATTAAACAAAGTGAAGTGACACCTACAGAATGGAAGAAAATATTTGCAAGCTATTCATCCAACAAGGTATTAATAACCAGAATATATAAGGAACTCAACTCAGTAGCACCAAATAACAATAATCATCTGATTTTTTAAATTGATAAAATATTTGAATAGACATTTCTCAAAAGAAGACATACAATGGCCAACAGGTATATAAAAAATACTCAACATCACTAATCATCAGAGAAATGAAAATCAAAACCACAGTGAGATATCATCTCACTCAAGTTAAAATGCCTATTATGAAAAAAATCAGAAAATAACAAGTGCTGGAGAAGATGAGGAGAAAGGGGAGTGTCTGTACACTGCTGGTAGAATTATAAATTAGTACAACCAGAAAACGGTATGGATGTTCCTCAAAGATCTAAACATTGGACTACCATATGATCTAGCAATCCCTTTCCTGGGTATATATTCATGAGAAATGAAATCAGTACATTGAAGAGATATCTGCATTCCCATGTACAATAGCCATGATATGGACACACCCAATGGAATATGAGTTAGCCAAAAAAGAAAGAATAAAGTCATGCAATTTATAGCAACATGAATGAAACTAAAGGACATTTATAGTAAATGAAATAAGCTAGACACAGAAAGACAAACATTGAATGTTTTCACTCATACGTGGGAGCCAAAAAAATTGATCTCATGGAAGCAATGAATAAAATGGTAGTTACCAAAGACTGGGAAGGGCAGTAGAGACAAGGAGATGAAAAGGGGTTGAAAAGGAAAAGTAAAATATATTTTTTAAAAAACTAAGGAACTTCATTCTTACCAATTCTACCCATATTGTCTAGGAGTAGGCCACTAAACTTAGGTCAGGCCCTCAAGAGTTTCTTTTGTCCTAGAGCAAGGCAAATACCTTAACACATGCAAATATGCGTAGCAATCCTACATCAGATACTAGGTAACTTGTTTGTAGAAACAGATTTTTCCATGTTACATTTTAATATAAACATTAATGATCTCTGTTTCCTCAGCACAAACCAAATTGTGGCACAGAAAGACAATTCAAAAATGTCTTCTTCAAAATGGGCCAGTGAGACTGAAGTTGAGGATTTGAGTAAAGGTACAAAATTAATCACCACCTAGAGATGATCAAGAACTAATTCTAGCTATATTGGTGAATGGAAAAACTAAGTAACATGAAGCAGACAACCTATTTGTTGATAACTGAGACTAAGAAAATACAAAGTATTGAAAAAGTAATGTGATACATGATTTTAACTTAGAATGAAATGAAGAGACACCAGAGTATATACAGTAAGTCTATAATCAGTAATGTCTCACTCATGTATGTCACCCACCTTTAAAAAAGCTTTAGCCACTTATCAACATACAGTTATATAAATACTATTCCATATTTTTGTAAGGTAAATGTATAATTACTAAAACTAAAAAATAGAATGTAATATATAGCAACAGTAAAAACAAAAAACAACAAAAGATAATTATTTAGGAATGAAGTAGAATAACAAAAACCAGAGTGAAAAAATGCAAAAGAAAATTAAATATAGCAATAACCATTATCATATAATCAAACTGGAAGGCACTAAATTTCAATTATATTTGCTGAAAGATATTACAAAAATTATTAGTAACTTACTGTTGCCATTACCTCTTATGTTTCCTTTCACATATACTCACATAAATTCAATTCTAATAAATTTACTCTTTAGTTTCTAATCATTTTTATAAACTCTTTTATTATCAACTCTTGGTTAATTTCATAGGGATGAAAGGAGTCACACAGAACTCCAAATCACTTAGAAACAATAGTCAAGGTGACTAACCATGGCACATAATTCCTAATTTAGACTAGCTAAGCCTTCTACCACATTATTGCTTTACCTAAAGGATCTCAAATGTTATCACTGGCTCAAATCTCTAAATCTTCATATAGCCTCGAGAATTTTTCAAATTTTAGGGATCTTCTCTCCCTTCTTTTTCTAATTAACCTTTCAAGTTAACTCCTCTTGCTGTTATATGCCATGAAATTGAGATTTCCTCCCATGTAAATTATTTTTCCTTAAGGCATTGTTGCTGTACTATCTATGATTCACTGCAAATTCCCACTTTGGAAAGAGAAATGGTGGTAGGGTAGAAATGAACAAGTGTTTTTTCACAAACTCAGTATTCTATGTAGATAAGGATTATCTGCTATGACAAGGGAGTAGATCAAAGCCTCCTCTGACAAAGTAACCACTAACAAGTTCAACTTAAGCACTTCAAAGACAGACTCCACTACTCTGGGACAGTGAGGTGGGAAAGCGAGTTTTTAAGACATGCCATCTAAATACCTAATTATGAACTTTGTGGACGAAGGTGGGCAGTCAACTGGAGTTAATTTAAAAAGAATACTGTTATTCTACCTTTATAGGTAATAGAGAATTTAGTGTAATTCTTGATGAACTAAATTTTTGGAATCATCAAATACGTGATCTTAATTTATGAAAGGGACACTGTATTGATGTTCTACTACCATGAGTTAATATATGTTTTATTTCATGTTATTTTATATGGGTGATATTTCTGTATTTCATTAACAACCATATATGTATATATATTAAAGCATAAATAAAAGTGAACTATATCATATCAATACATAGGAACAAGCAATTCCACAAACACTCAATTGTAAGAAAAATATACCTGCCATCCCTGTGATGATGGTCAATGCTCTGACTGTATCTGCAGCGAGGTAGAGTAAGAAAATGACTGCAAGCGTGGCAGAAACAAGAATATAAATAAGACTCAAGAAAGAAGTGAAAAAAAATATAGTTTAATTTTAAAAGTGAGATTCAAAAAGATAGACAGTAAGCAAAGCAAATGGAAACTATTATTGGAAAGCTTGCTCCCTCCTCCCAATGTTCATCGTAATATGACAGCGCCGAAGGTTAAAATATTTCTAAATATTTTAAAATAAAATACAACAAAAATATAACATTATCAAATATTACTCAAACATCTTTTGCACCATCTGGAATATGTTATATGATAGAGATGCTTTACCATTTTTTAGGAGGAAAGATGAGATGAGAAAAATAAAATAACAGAAAGTTTAAGAAGGAAATAATAAAAAAGGTAATTTCAAATACTTATAAAAGTTGGAAAATTTATAAGGTAACTATTTCACTTTTAATTATTAATAATTAAAAATAACTACAAAGGGCTTTAACAGTTCCAGTTAATAAAAAACAAACTGATCCAAATTACTTTTATTTGATTATTAATTGTATTTATTAAATTTATTGAGTTTTAGTCATTTTTCCATTTACTACGTTTATTATGTATTATATGCTATTGGCTTTGCTACCTTCATACCTTATAACTACCATAAGCAGCACACTGATCTTTTACCCATCTCTTCTTTCCACAGCACTAATTTAAAATTTCCTACTTTCTTAGAACCTTTAATACTAAAACAATTAATCTTATCATGTTATCATTATGTTTCCATAAACAATGGAAATGAACCTTGAACTCGCTCAACTTGCATAATTCTATCTCTAAATAGAAAATAAACATACATTTAAATCTTCACTTGTCCTTGTCTTCTGCACTGAAAGAGATGCCTCTATATTTGTAATCTTGCTTCCCACACGACCTTACTTCATTTATTATCCTCTCCTGCCTTCCCTTCCTAAACTGCACTTAATCCTAAAAATAAAACCCTGCTAACCTTTCCTTCCTCTCAAGCCATTGCATCTCACTCATTTTCTTTTCAACATAGAACATCTTAAAATACATACCTACAATTCTTGCCACCTGTGCCAGACTTTGCTTTCATGCTTTAAGCTTGCTGTAATTTGACTTCTGCCTCTACCATTCTCTTGAAGCTATCCTATGAATGCTATCTGTGAAATCCCCTAAAAATCCTTTTGTCTCCTCTTAATCTTCATAATACTATGCTTATCTTTGGTTTTAGACATTGATTTTCAAATCCCTATTTCTTAATACTCTCTCCTTTTTTGGTTTCTGAAACACTATTCTCTTTGGCTATTAAACATAGTATTTAACACTGAACTATGTGCCAAGTACTCCATTAAAAGTTTTGCCTACATGATCTCATTTACTTCTTATAACAACTCTTTGAGGTAGGTTCTACTATTCTCACATTTGCACAGACAGAGAAACTGAGGCTGTGAATGCTTGCCCAGAGCCATACAGTAAGTGGCAGAACTGGGTTTCAAACTCAAGGCTTTCTTAATTCAAAACTCAAGCTCTTAACACATTTGCACATACAGCCTGGTCTCTCACCTATGACTGCTTCTTCATCCATTTAATGTAGTGGATTTCCTCTCTCTGTAGAGAAGTAGTGGTTTTCCAATATTCATTTCCTGACCTTATATTGCAACACATTCTTTCTAAACAATGCAATTTTTTTAATGGTGTAGACAGTAACTCTGCTTTAGTATTGATTTTGGGTTGCACAGCACTTTTCCATCTGCTTCTGGGCTTTCCACATAATGCTTGAGTGACATGTAGACAACTCAGGAAAACATATGGTCATTGTGAGACTAGAACAATAACCCTTTGCCTATTTGGACATTGGTGCTGATTTTTGAAATGAGGTTCAAGCAGTGGTTTTCAAACTTTTTTTTTTTTTTTAGCAGATCACTTTTTTTTTCCAAACAAAATTGGATATAGAATCAACATACAGTAATGAAATAAAATCAGAATGATGCTAGCTAAACACAGTAAGAAGCCTAGATCCCTACCCATTTGGCCTCATCGTAACCTGTCATAGCAGTCTCTCAGGCACCTCTACAAAACATAGGACTCCATCATCTCTAAAGTCCTTTCTAACATAATTCTTTAATCCCCTTTTGGAACTTAATATGATACTTCAGCTATTCCTCTTCTTTTAATCTCTTGCATTCCTAGCTTCAACTAAGGATTAAAATAATATTTAATAAACCAAGTTTTACAATCTCATATTTTAACTCCTCTATTTCCTCATTTTTCACATTCGATTCATTTACAAGCTTTGCTTGTTCTGATGCCTAAATAACTCAGATCTCTCTCTTTTTCCTTTTCTCCTGCCACCACCTTAAATCAGGTTTACTCTATCTATTGAAACCTAAGACCCTCTCTTAGGTCTTCCTACCTTCAGAGCCCAGTCTTCCCCTGACCCAATCCAATCTTCATCCTGTCTACAGAAGTATATTTGCAAATTATGCTTTCTGATCATGTAGATACCTTACCGAAAATTCTTCACTGGTTCCTGATATCAAAAAATAAGTATAAATTCCCTAAAATTTCTAAACTACTTTCAATCTTCATTTTCTATCACTTTCCATTCCCCATACCACCACCTCTTAACTAGGTACAACAGACCACCTAAGAATCTCTAATTATATCACGTGTTTTCCTGATTCCAAGACTTTGTCCATGGTCATCATTCTGTCAAGAATGCCCATCCTTCTCCATCTCCACTGCTTCACCTTTCACAATCTTATTCAATCCTTAAAGCCTTCTTTTTGATGCCTTTTCCAGTTTCCCCAATCAAGTAATTTTCTCTCCAATCTGTTCCAATACTATTATCCTTCTTCCATATAGTCTTCAATATTTTAAAATTAGTTGACATTTGATAATATGTCTGGCTAGACCAGGATAATGTCTGTTTTAAATCTTTGTGCACAATAGCTGATCTACTTGATAAATATATTTTGGATTGCACTAAAAAGTAAAATCAAAATTATACTGTTTTCATGATGAGCCTTCTCTCAAAAAAGAGGTTCATATAATCATAGAAACATTCTAGAAATGCAAACAGATTACAAGCCTATGTAGTATAAGAAAATAGAAAAATATTTTAAAAGTATTCATAGCTTTATGAAGAAGAGAAATAATACCCAACAGTTGTGATGTTGGGCTTTATTGCTTTAAAAGGAATAGGTTTTCTCCAAAATTACTTAAGAATAACAAAAAATGTGTAAACTTCAAAGCTTGTTAAAATATTTTATAAATTTTAACAAGCTTTGAAGTTTACATATAAAATAATCCAATTCTAATAGTTTCTTTGAAGAGTCTTATAATTAACTTTGTTCCTATAAAGCCAAAGAAGCCATTAAGCAACAATCACCATTATCAAGTATCAATTTATTTTGTTTCTCATTTCTATCTCTAGTTATATTAGTTTTTAACTTTATCTGGTCATGACCCTCCTTGAGATTCTGTTGAAAACTATGAAAACTCATACATGAACATTACACAAAATTTATCATTGTGTTTTACTAAGCCCTCTAAAATCCACCTAAGATCCATAGCCATACTCAAGGTCCTTTGCTGCATCCACTACCGTAAAACATATTACACTTCTCCACTGAACCATGCTTACTTTTTTTCCAAAATTAATGGACATTATAAAATTTGAGCAATAAATATGCATAGTATCTTAACTATGCATAATGAATTAAACAAATAAAGTAAGTTACATTAAAACTGCAGTTAGACCAATCTATTTGAGGAGTAAATTAAAAAAAAATACACTTACTAAATTTTACAGAGCAAAAACAAAGTAAAGAAGTTATAGATTCTAAGGCTCATGATAAAAAATTACTATTCAAAGAATTAAACTACATTACTAATCCAATTTCTAGACACTGATTCTTAAGCAATATAACCCTTCAAGACAACACAAAATTATGTTTATAATGAATTATACTTCCACTATATTAAATTAGCTGGATGTCCCCTTTAGGAATCACTTTAGTCCATACAAAAAAGAACTGCAAAAATGGGAGATAAAATATCCCATTATTAAGTAAAACTATAGTTTCTAACAACCATTACTTAATGCTTTTTTTTTGGTTTTTTTTTTTGGAGACAGGGTCTTGCTCTGTCATCCTGGCTGGAGTACAGTGATGTGATCATGGCTCACTGCAGCCTTGACTTCCCTGGGCTTATGCAATCCTTCTACCTCAGCTTCCTGAGTGGCTGGGATTACTGGTGCCTGCCACCATGCCTAGCTAATTTTTGTACTGATTTCTAATACTAAGGTCACATAGTCTGCCTCAGGAATAATTACGTTCCTAGTTGTAGTAGTTACCAGGATGTATCAGGAAAACAATGGTATAAAAAGTGGGAGAAGGGAGGTAGAAGATGAAAGATATGCTTGTATCCAGGTTTCTAAATTACTTGTAAAGAATCTATTTACTTTTCAAAGCAGAATAGGATTTTGACTAATGATAATACAGTGAGATAGGCAGAGATACAAAGACCTAATTTTAAAAAGTTCAAGACCAGCCTGGCCAACATGGTGAAACCCCATCTCTACTAAAAAATACAAAAAATAGCCAGCAACAAGGGCCTGTAATTCCAGCTACTTGGGAGGCTGAGGAAGAAGAATCACTTGGACCCGAGAGGCAGAGGTTGCAGTGAGCCAAGATCGCACCACTGTACTCCAGCCTGGGCAACAAGAATGAAACTGTGTCTCAAAAAAAAAAAAAAAGTATGCATGCATGTGTGTGTGTGTGTGTGTGTGTGTGTGTGTGTGTGTGTGTGTGTATACATATATAAATAAATTATTTTATTACCTATAGAAAGGATATAAATACTGTATCTTCTCCATATACCACCCAAGTTTAAATACTATTGATGAATGGCAAATAACATCATTTCTTACTCAATATAGTCTACTTTTGCCCTAGGTCTTGCCTGGATAAATGTGACCATTTTTCAAGGTGCAATTCATGCACTATATTCATTCTATATGAAATTGGAAAACAAAACAAAACAAAACCAAAAACCCTACATGAGCAGGATGCAGTGGCTCACCCCTGTAATCCCAGCACTTTGGAGGCCAAGATGGGTGGATCATGTGAGGTCAGGAGTTTGAGATCAGGCTGGCCAACATGGCAAAACCCCATCTCTACTAAAAATACAAAAAACTAAAGCTAAATATTAGCTGGGTACGGTGGCAGGCACTTGTAATCCCAGCTACTTGGGATGCTGAGGCAGGAGAATTGCTTGAGCCCAGGAGGCAGAGGTTGCAGTGAGCCGAGATTGCACCATTGCACTCCAGCCTGGGTGAGGGAGCAAGACTGTCTCAAAACAAAAAAACAAAAACAAAAACAAACCAACACTACATTAACTGGCTGACTTCTCTCTTTAGCTCTCTTTTCTTTCTTAATTACTAAGCACATTAAATGTAAATTATTTGCAAGTGAATATATCCTTTTAAAATGGTAAGGTTAAGGCATGTATTTTCAGTACACACTATAAATTGGAGGCAGTGTCATTTAATCTACACAACTCAATAAAGTTAATACTAGTCATTTAATCTATACAACTCAGTAAAGTTGATACGATATTCTAATTTTACAGGGAAGAAAACCAAGTGTCAAAGATGTTAATTTCCCCCCCCCACAAAAAAAAAAAAAACCCACAGGTAGCAAGAGGTAAAATCCTATATTCAAAATCAAGGCCATTTTGTTTAAAATCCTATAAAAAAGATTCAGTAAAATAATATTACATATTACATTCAATAAAATAGTATTTATACTATTCTAGTCCAGTGCAACAATTCTTTCTGACAAGAAAGGTTATTGTACCTCTCAAAATACCTAAATTATTCTTATCTCAAAGGAAATTCTCTCTTAGGCTTTTTCATCAACAGTATTATTGCTATTAAAATGCTATTCATGAAAATTCACTGTAGAACTTCTAGAGAATTCTTACCTTCTAAAAATCATAATGCACCCATCTGCATTTTATTACCAAAACTCTTCAAATATTAAGATAAAACAGAAATTAAGAACTTATTTAATAATGTTATAGACTATGTACATGACTAATATTGAACTTTTTGATTTTTTATTCCTCATGTTAATGAATAGTGATTACACAAATAATCCAAATAATATTAGAATTGGTTTTATTTTCCTATTTAAATGAAATTCTATTTTACTTATTTGAAAAAACAAAGATTTAAGGCAGCTCACAATTAAGAGTAATTGTGATCTGGGATCTACAGTGCTCTAAAAGAGAAATAATAGCCACATGGATCAATTTTCTCCAAAACTTCAGAAAATAATTGTAGGAACATTTCTGCTTAACTAAAAGACTTACAAATTAAAAAAAAATTAAAAATATAATGACATTTCAGTTGTAGAGATAAATTGGGATAGACATAAAAACTGCAGGGTATCTCTGACATGATAATTACCTAATATGACTATATTAACCAATACCAAGGATTAATCATTTAGGCTTTAATAGGAAGTTTTGTTGCCATTAAACCTAAGGTCATTTGCCTTCAAATATTTATAAAATATTATGTATTTGTCATGATAGCAATCATTTTTGTTTATAAGTATTAATTCTAGATGTTAATTTTATTTTTTTCTGCAAGATTTAGAATGTATTCACTTGTCTTAAAGAAAACATCAAGTCCTTTTTTTCATTAAAATAAAAGTTTACATAAAATTGAAGGGAGTTTAAATTCATTGGAGACTTTTCTCTCTCATCATTTCCATTAACAAACCTTCAATGAACAAGGAGTTTGTGATTTGGTATATAAATAATTTCCAGAAATGATCAAGCTCATTACCTCATTAGGCAACTAAAATACCTCTTCATTCATCCTAATATGACTCCTTTCAACTCCTAATCATGCCAACATAGTTATCCTTCTTACTATTACAGTAAGAAGGATAAGCATCAACTTCTATAAGTAGCATTACTATAATTACCTCTAACGATACAGATTACTATAAAAAGTTAAGCAAATTAAAATAAAATACTACATTAACTTTCATTTATCACTAATAACACTATTAATTTAACAATTTCTTAGATATAATGTCTTCTTAGATCTCAGGCACAGAAGCCAATACTTGTTAGACACAGTTGAAGACTGCGATATCCCCTCTTTACTCTTGGAAAAGTATTCTAAATCACAGTGAAATTATAAGCATGAATTAAGTATAATCTTAATTTAGACAACCCCAAATATTCCTCCTAAAACTTGTTTAGGATGCATACAAAAGGACTTCTGAGTTCCTTCATTATTTTGTCATATCCTTTGAATAGCTTGGGAAAAATATGATAGCATTTACTTCATGTATAACCAAAGCATGAATTAGAGAGCTTATCAATTTGCTTAACTTAAAAATGTTAACAGTAGTTAATGTAAGCATTGTAACATACCATGTTACTTCCAAGTTTGTCACATTAAATGGAGCAAATTCAGAGAGTTCTTCCAAATACAGCAATCAATCTTTAAGATGCTTATAAGGTTTACTGAAAGCCATGAGGAAAAACCTCTTCATGAATCATGATAAAATGTTTCCTAAACAAATCAGACTCTGTCTCAATACTTCTATATGTGAAAAGTCACACCAATTTCTCTGATGAATGTAAAAGACTTTAAAATCTTTTGTCTCATTAAAGTATATGTATATATATATATACGTATTTGGTTATGACAAGGCAAAAATAATAAAACATCTTGGTTTCATTCTAATTAACATTATAGTCACTTGTACAGATTCACTAAATTAACTGTTTTGATTGAACAAAAAACCAAAATGGCAAAAGAAAGATGATTTTGTTTTTTCTTACCAGAGAAAAGGTTGTTTGTATTTATTTATTTTGTGTGGCAGTCATAGGAAATAATGTAAGCATTATAAAAGAAAAACGTTGTTTTATACACTAAGGTAAAGGAATAGGTGAAAACATTTTACGGTAACCCCTTCCTGAAAGCAGTGATTATATTAATAATAAGGTCTAATAGTATTTAATCATATTTACCTGTCTCTATCTGGAGAATAATGGTCATCCATGACACGATGTCTATCCATTCGGCTAATTGTATTATAATGTCCAGTAGTAGCGCGTGTCCCTCGAAGCCCCTGTTCCACATTCCGACTAAAACAACAAAGTCCATTAAATATTTTAGTAAATAATTTTAAATACTAAGAAACGAGGATTATTTTAAAAAACAATAGAAAAAGAAAAAGTTACTATATCGTGAAGTCCAAATTTTGTTTTAACTAATTGCATCCCTGGCTAAAGGTATAAGTTTCAGTTGAAGGTTGACAGGTAAGTAATATTACTGCTACAACAGATGTAGCATAAGAAGCTCAAATTAAGGTAATAACAGTGGGGATATGATGAGGACTATCAAAGTTATTAATGGATGGCTACCAGGTCTCTAGTGCTGATACTCAATAATGTACTCAAGAGGAGGAGGAGATTTATTTGGAGAAAATATGTTCAGTGTTAGACACATCTGTATACATGACCTATAGGAATGGAGATAGAGATGCCTCATAGGTGGCTGGACGTGAGTTCAGAGCTTAGGAGAACAAGTCAAAATTTGCACACTTTGCATTTTGCACCATCTCCCTTGATACCACCCTAGTCCAAATTACCTTCTTTGTGGATATACCATAACAATAGCTATCTAAGTAAACTCTTGATTCAACTCTTACCTCCTCCGTGATGACACGCAACAGCCCTTTAAAGCACAATTAAGATATGGCACGTCACATTGCGGAATGAAAGATATGAGTCCAGCTTTTTAGTATTTTCCATTGGTGAGCTAATTTTCCTATCCTGTCTGACCCAACCTTTCCATATTAATTGTGGTGCCCTTAATCATGTGTTAAGTTCATATATAAGTATCAGTAGAAATGTATATATATTATTCTTTTACTATTGATTCCCTTCAATATGTCTATTTTGCTGCTGTTATTCAAGTTCCATCCTATTTTTAATTACTCATACCTGTTGGTAAATTTTTCTCTTCTTTTTTCAAAATAGATTTATTGGCATGTCTTTATATTTTCACATAATGTCTAGAAGAAGTTTATAAAAATTGCATATAAAATTGTGTTTGTAATGGCATTATATTTATAAATTAATTTATGGAAAATTGATATCTTTATTATGTGAAGTTATTCTACCCATACATAGGACATCTCTCTCATTAGTTCCTCACCCGAAGTTTTACATCTTACTTAAAAAGGTCCTGTGAATTCTCAGTACATGAATTGTTAGATACTTTGGGTTACTTTTGAGAATAGTACTTACATTTTACTATATTTTTCAACTAGTTATTACCCCTATTATAAGTTGATCTATGGCCAGCTGTTTGGCAGAACTTTTATATCGGTTTTAATATTTTGATTATATTGGGTTTCCTATGTAGATAATCCTATCATCAACAAATAATGATGGTTTTCATCGCTTCTCTTCCAATCTCTTCCAATCCTGAAATCTCTTACTTCCTTTCCTTTTTTTTTCTTAACATTTTTTCAGGATCTGAAGTACTATTTTAAGCAATGACAATATTAATAAACATCCATCTCTTATTTCTGGTATTAATGTAAATTCCTCTAAAGTTTTTCCATTAAATATAATGCTTGCTTTATTTAGCCTTTATGAAGTGTAGGTGGTTCTCTTCTAGTTTACTATCTTATGTGAACAGAAGTTGAAAAATTAATTTTTTTCTGCCTCTAGTAAGATTTATTTCCCCATTTGTCCACTAATATATAAATTACCATAACCATTTTTCCGGCGTCTCACCATCATGATTTAAATTCATGGTTAGATTTACTTAAAGTAAGATTTCTTACATCTGTTTGTAACTAAAATGGTCTTCTTAAGCTGAACACAGAGGCACCTAGACCCAGTACCTGGTCCTAGAGGATTGCTTGAGCCCAGGAGTTCCAGTCTATCCTGGGCAACATAGTGGGACTGACTTTGAAAAAAAAGAAAAAATGGATTATAATATTTCATCATTCTGTAAGAATTAGAGTTACAGTTATGTTAGTTCCAGAAAAAGAATTAGGCAACTTTCCTTCTTTATCTGTTTCTAGAGCCAATTGTTTAGAACAGCAACTCGTTCTCAAAAACTTGGTTAAAACCTACCCGTAATACCTTTTTTAGTCTGAAATTCTTTTTATGAGTGGATGGGTGGAAAAGAGTAGTTTGTCTTTGAGTACCATTTCAACCTATTTGCTGGTTGTTATTTTACTTTCATTTCTTCTCATGTCAAATTTTAATACTTTATACCTATTTCAGAAATGTAACAATTTTGCCTACATTGACAAATTTAATAACAATTTCATAATGATTATTATTTTTAAAGTATTTTTCTTATCTGTAGTTGTTTCCCTTTTTCAAAGTTTTATTTATTTATACCTCTCATTTTTCATGTACAGTCCTTTTATTGTATTGATGTCATCGATGTTTTCAAATAACTAACTTTTGAGTTAACATACATTCTCTCTTATCTTTCACTTGTTTTTCTTACTCTGTGTTTCATTTTGTCTCAGTTTCACTGAGTTTTCCCTAATCTTTATTAATTCCATAAATATATACACCTACTATGTACTCATAAAATTAAAAAATTGAAATCAAAAAAGGTATCTGTACTTTTATGAATACTGTGATAAGGGCACAAAATACGTAATAATTCCAACATGGAAAATGGGAAATCCATCCCTTCAAACATTTATCCTTTGTCTTACACAGAATTGAATTATACTCTTTTAGTTATCTGAAAGTGTACAATTAGATTATTTTGACTGCAGTCACCCTGTTCTGCTATCAAATACTAGGTTGTATTTATTCTTTCCATTCTTTGTGTCCATTAACCATCTCCACATCCCCTTCACCCCCCCCAACCCATCCCAGCTTCTAGTAACTGTCCTTCTGCTCTCCATCACCACGTTAAATTGCTTTGATTTTTAGATCCCACAAATAAGTGAGAGCATGAAATGTTTGTGTTTCTGTGCCTGTCTTATTCCACTTGATGTAACGACCTCCAGTTCCAACCATGTCACTGCAAATGACAGAATCTTATTTCTTTCTAGCTGAATAGTACTCCATTGTGCATAAACACATTTTCTGTATCCATTCATATGCTAGTGGACATGTGGGTTGCTTCCAAATCTTGGCTGTTGTGAACAGTATTGCAACAAACATGACAGTGCAAATATGTCTCTGATATATTGATTTCCCTTCTTTTTGATATTTACCAAGCAGTGGGATGATGGATCATATGGTAGCTCTAATTTTAGTTTTTTGAGGAACCTCCAAACTGTTCTACATAGTGGTTATACTAAATTTACACTCCAAACAACAGCATACAAGGGTTCCCTTTCTTCACATACTTGTCAGCATTTGTTATTGTTTGTTTTTGAATATAAGCCATTTTAACTGGGGTGAGTTAACATGTCATTGTAGTTTTGATTTGCATTTCTTTGATGATCAGTGATGTTGAGAACCTTCTGATATGCCAGTTTGCTATTTGTATGTCTTCTTTTGAGAAGTTTCTATTAAAATCTTTTACACATTTTTAAATTGGCTTATTGAATATTTTTTTTCCTACAGAGTTTGAGTTCCTAACACATTTTGGTTAAGAATCCCTTTACAGGTGGATAGTTTCTTTGCAAATATTTCCTCCTATTCTGTGGGTTGTCTCTTCATTTTGTTATTTCCTTTGCTGTGTTGAAGATTTTTAACTTGATATGATCCCTTTTGTCCACTTTTGCTTTGTTTGCCTGTGTGTGAACTATTACTCAAGAAATTTGCCCAGACCAATGTCCCAGAGAATTTCTTGAATGTTTTCTTGTAGCAGTTTCATAGTTTGAGGTCTTTAATCCATTCCATCTTAATCCATAGATTTAGGTCTTTAATCCATTTTAATTTGATTTTTGCATATGGTAAGAGATAGAGGTCAAGTTTCATTATTCTGCACATAGATATCCAGTTTTCCCAGCATAATTTATTGAAGAGACTTTTCTTTCTCCATTGCATGCTCTTGGCACCTTTATCAAATATGAGTTCACTGTAGGTGTGTAGATTTGTTTCTGGGGTCTCTATTGTGTTCCATTGGTCTACATGTCTGTTTTTATGCCATACCATGCTGTTTCAGTTATTATAATTCTGTAGTATAATTTGAAGAAAGATAATGTGATTCCTTTAGTTTTGTTCTTTTTGCTCTCAATAGCTTTGGCTATTCTAGGTCTCTTGTGGCTCCACATAAATTTTAGAATTATTTCTTCAATTTCTGTGAAGAATGTCATTGGTATTCTGATAGGGATTGCATTGAATCTGTGGGTTGCTTTGGGTCATATAGAAAGTTTAACAATATTGATTACATCGGTCCATGAAATATAATACTCTTGTGTGTGTCATCTTCAATTTCCTGTACCAGTGTTTTATAGTTTTCATTGTAGAGATCTTTCATTTCTTTTATTAAGTAAATTTCTAGGTATTTAATTTTATTTGTGATTGTTATAAATGAAATTACTTTCTTGATTTTTTCAGATGGTTCACTGTTGTCATATAGAAATGCTACTGATTTTTGTATGTTGATCTTGTATCCTGAAACTTTACTGAATTTATCAGTTTGAATAGTTTTTTAATCGAGTCTTTAGGTTTTTCCAAATATAAGATCATGTCATCTGCAAACAAGAATAATTTTGACTTCTAACTTTACAATGTAGGTGACCTTTATTTATTTCTCTTGTCTTATTGCACTAGCTAGGACTTCCAGTACTATGTTGAATAATAGTGGTGAACCTGGGCATCTTTACCATGTTCCAGATCTTAGAGGAAAGGCGTTCAGCTTTTCTACATTCAGTATGATACTAGTTGTGAGTTTGTTGTATGTGGCTTTTATCATGTTGAGGTGTGTTCCCTGCATCCCCAGTTTTTTGATGGTTTTTAATTTGAAGAGATGTTGAGTTTTTTCAAATGCTTTTTCAGCATCAATTAAAATAATCATGTGGTTTTAGCACTTCATGATATATCACATTAAATGATTTGTATCCAATAAATCATCCTTGCATCTCAAAAATAAATTTCACTTAGTCATGATGAATGACCTTTCTAATGTCTTATTGAATTAAGTTTGTTAATATTTTTTTTAAGGATTTCTGTATCAATATTCATCAGAGATATTGGGCTCTAGTTTTCTTTTTTTGATGTGTCATTGGTTTTGATATCAAAGTAATAATGGCCTGGTAGAATAAGTTTGGAAGTATTCTCTCCTCCTTTACTTTTTGAAATAGTTTGAATAGAGTTGGTACTGGTTCTTCTTTAAATGTTCGTTAGAATTCAGCAGTGAAGCCATTGGGTTCAGGCCTTTCTGTACTGGGAGACTGTTCATTATGGTTTTTATTTGTTATTTATCTGTTTAGCTATTGGATTTCTTCATGGCTCAATCTTGTAAATGTCTAGGAATTTATGCATTTCCTCTATATTTTCCAACGTATTGGCATATAGTTGCTCACAGCAGCCACTAATTATCCTTTGAATTTCTGTGGCATCAGTTGTAACGTGCCCCTCTTCATCTCAGATTTTGTTTATTTGGATCTTCTCTCTTTTTTCCTTTGTTGGTCTGGTTAAAAGTTTGTCAATTTTGTTTATCTTTCCAAAAAACAACCTTTCTGTTTCACTGATCTTTTGTATTGTTTTCTATCTATCTTAAAGCCAATAACTCTTAGCTTTGCTCTTTTGAGGCTACTTTCTTCTTTTTTCCCACAAATCTACAAAGTTTATTACAGATAAGGTAATTTTATTATAGATAAGATAAGGTAAGTTTATTTAACCAATCTACAAAGATCATTATCATAAAGAACAGGAGAAAATGAAAATGGTGTCTCTATACGTATCTGTGTTTGTTCTGCAGTATCAGTCAAATGGTTACAAATGAAACTCTCATCTCAATTCCAAATATATACGCCCTTATATTAAAAAATGATATTAGCCAGTTGTAACACTCATTTAGCATCTTGGTTATTAATGTCAATATAATTTTCTTAACATAGGGTATGTAACAGGAAAAATAAAATAAAATAATGACAAGAAAGTATGTTTTATCCAGTCCATTTCTAAACTGACAAGAATACCTTATCAATACTTTATATAGGCAATCTGACAGATACTTGAGGGCTGTTTGCACACATCAAGTGTGTTGGCAGGCAGGGAAGGGAGCAGCAAAAGCTGAGGTTGCTTTCTCACTAACTAGCAGATGCAGTAATGCCGCATAAGAAAACTAAGGACTGAATAAAGGACTTTGGCATCTATTCAATTTTCCCTTTTTACTTACACATAAATTACTTTGACAGACTACTGAAGGACAGGTGATTCTCATTCCCCTCTCCCTTCATAAATAAGTGCCGAAAGCACCCAAACTTGTCACTTATGCAATAAACTGACCAAAACACAATAAAAACAGAAATGGTTTTTGAAACAACCACCTTTTGGGAGTGGAACATAAGTGCAATTTTTTGTTTATTTATTTTTTTCCCTACATAGACATAGTAAAAAGGAAAGATGTGCTTGGGGACAGGGTTGACAAAAATGACAAAATAAAGAACATACAAAGGAAATATTCATAAGAATGCTGGTATCTCATGCAGGAGTCTCTTCCTCAAATGTGTTCAATCAGTCTGAGCTATCTACTGTGAACACTCTCCCATCTGCAGAACTTCGCCTTTAATCCATGCTAAAGAGGATAACAGACTAGCCTATTTATTTTAAAAGCAGTTTACAAAACAATGCTTTCTACTTCATAAATTTAAAAAGAAACTGTAAAATAAGGAGAATCTGAAGAGTTCCAAGTACTTAAAAAAAAAAAGCTATTTTCTAGATCTTACAGGTATGCCTCATTGTTTATTGTTTTTCTTTTTCTGCTTTGTGTATTTTCAAATGGTCTCTTGAAGCTCACTAATACTCTCTCCTGCTTGATCCATTCTGCTATTAAGTGACACTGATGTGTTCTTCAGTATTTCAATTGCATTTTTCAACACTAGAATTTCTGCTTATTTTTAATTATTTCAATCTCTTTGTTAAACTCATAGAACTTGGAATTCCTTCTCTGTGTTATATTGAATTTCATTGAGTTTCCTGAATTTGCTATCTGAAAGGTCACATCAGTCATACCTCAGTTTCTCAAGGATTGGTCCCTGGTGCCTATTTAGTTCATTTGGTGAAGTCACGTTTTCCTAGATAATCTTGATGCTTGCAGATGGTCTTTGGTGTCTTGGCATTGAAGAGTTAGGTATTTATTGCAGTCTCGGCTTGTGTGTGCCCATGCTTCATAGGAAGGCTTTCCAGGTATTCAAAAAGACTTGGGCCCCAGGCCCAATAATGCTGTTTTTTTCAGACTCACAGAAGTACTGCCTTGGTGGTCTTTGATAAGATCCAGAAGAATTCTCTGGATTACCAGACTCTTATTCTTTTCCCTTACTTTCTCTCAGACAAATGGAGTCTCTTTCTCTCTCTCTCTCTCTCTCTCTCTCTCTCTCTCTCTCTGCTGAGGGGTGCTCTGTGATGCAAGCACCCCTGTGGTTACCACCACTGGGACTGCACAGGACAAGACCTGAAGCCAGAACAGCACTAAGTCTTGCCCATGGCCCACTGTAACCACTACTTGGTACACTGCCTATGTTCACTCAAGGTCCTAGGGCTCTACAATCACCAGGCAGCAAAGCCAGCCAACTTTGGGTCATTCTCTTCAGGGTAGTAGGCCCTTATCAGATCCACAGATGTTATCAGGGAGCTAGGGACTGGAGTCAAACACCCTAGAAATTTGTCTGATGTTATATTCTACTGTGGCTAAGCTGGCACTCAAACCATAATACAAAGTCCTTCCTGCTCTTCCCTCCCCTTTCCACAGGTAAAAGAGCCTCTCCCTGTGGGATCTACCACCAGTGGCCCACAAGGAGGTTCTGTCAGGCCACTGCAATGTTCACTGAAAAGCCAAGGTTTCTTCTGTCAGCTGTGGCGAATGCTGCCAGGCCTGGGACTTACTCTTCAGGGCAATAGGCTCCCCTCTGTCCCAGGGCAGATAAAGAAATGCTAAGAGACTAAGCTTGGAATCAGGGACTGCAAGAGCCTGCTTGTTATTCCTAACCCACTGTGGCTGAGCTGACATCTAAGGTACAAGACAAAGTCACCTTAGTTTTCCCTCTGTTTTCTCAAACAGAAGCAGTCTTTCATCATAGCCACCATTGGAGGGAATGTGCTGGGTCACCCATGAAGCCTGCACGTCTCAGAGCCCAATCCCCACAGCATAGTTCCCAGGTATCACTGCTGGTTATTCAGGGCCCAGGAAGTCTTTAGTCAGAAAGTGATTAATCCTGCAGGACTGGGTCCTTCCCTTCAAGGCAGCAACTTCCCTTTCGGCCCAGTATGTGCTTATATCCTTCAAACATAACAAACCTAAAGCTCTCTTTAAAAATACAGTATCTGTGTAAAATTCTCAATTATAATTCTAAGTCAAATACTCAGTTATTTATTTAAAATAGGATGCATAAGTATGTCATTCTAACTGGTCAAAATTTCTTAAACATTCCAAGTATGTACAATGTAAATTATGTGCATATTTCTTGATAGCTTCAACTATTATTTCCATGATTCTTATTCCATTAAGCCTGCCTATACTTCACCAGTTTGATCAGAGATTTTCAGTAAGCTTAACACCTGGAACTGCAGATTTTCTTAGCCATTTTTCCCACTGTACATACAGCTTTAAAAAATTATTATTCTGATTATTTCTTCCTAATTTTAAAAATCAGTCAGATTTTAATTTTTTCCTATATATTAAATTAACAATTGTCTATATCATTCACGAGTATAATGAGTTGGTTCTACCTAGATATATCAATATGTAATTGAAAACTGGTTCTTCTGAATTATTTTGAGCTCTTACAATAAAATAACATATAGGTTGTCTAAAATTACATAATAAATCATATTTCATTTTAGTCTCATTATGTAGGTTATTGAATAGCATCCTGTTTTTCCTTGACTAGCATTTGGTTTTTCCTTAAATAAATAAAACCATCTTGTTTTTCCTTAAATTCTTTTTCTACAAGAATCTCATATCTTTAGAGATTATTAAGGATATGTGATGATAAATGGGTCAGTAGTGCCATTGTGATGGTTAATATTAGGTGTCAACTTGAATGGAATGAAGAAGGCCTAGATGGCTGGTAAAGTATTGTTTCTGGGTGTGTCTGTGAGGGTGTTGCCAGAGGAGACTGACGTTTGAGTCTGTGGACTGGGAAAGAAAGACCCACCCAATCCACCATCCAGGTGGCTGCCAATGCAGCTAGAACAAAGCAGGTGAAGAAGGTGGGATAACCTTACTTGCTAAGTTTTCTTGTTTCTTTCTTTTTCCTGTGCTGGATGATGCCTTCCACTCCTCCTGCCCTTGGACATCTGACTTCAGGTTCTCTGGGCTTTGGACTCTGGAACTTGCACCAGTGGCTTGCTGGTGGCTCTCGGGCCTTTGACCACAGACGGAAGGCTGTGCTGTCAGCTTCTCTGGTTTTGAAGCTTTAAAAATGGACTTACATTCAGACTGAGACTCTACTGGCTTCTCCCTTCACCAGTTTGTGGAAGTCCTATGGTGGGACTTTGTCCTGTAATCATGTGAGCCAATTTTCCCTAATACACTCCTTTTCATATATACATATATCCTGTTAGTTCTGTGCCTCTGGAGAACACTGAATAATACTGCCACCCTAAAAATATAATGAGTATTCTATCTTACCTTTGTGGTGGAGGGACACTGGGTGACCATGATCTAGTCCTTCCTATAACATCTACTCGGTGAGGAGACCCTGATGGTGAACAATGGTTTGATGACATTACTTGCTCTGGAACTGATAATGTTGAGCTTTGAAGATCTCGACCATCATGTCGATAATCTAAAGGTAAAAAATTAATAAATATTATAGTTATGTACATACTAAGTCCCTTTGTGTATTTTGTACTTTACTCCAAAACATAAAATGTTGAAGTTGAAAGACTTTTAATATAATAAATATAAAGTATAATGAATAAACCATACTATTAAGATAAAATATTTTATAAGCATACATTAAAAAGGAATGACTGATATTCAAATATTTCGATAGTTACTATATCTAAGGCATTGTGCTGGGTAAAACTTTTATATATACTTAGAGTAAAATTTTACATACAGTTAATTATCTTCAATAAAAGACAAATTTATTCTAAAAATATTTTCATCTCTTCAATGACCTAGAAAATCTTCAAATAATTCTATTATTTAAAATTATTAAGCTCATAAAACCTGCTAAACATTAAGATCATTTCTTTAAGTGATAAAAAGTTTTAGAAAACACCCTGAATACCACTTGTAGTACATGTATAAATGGCTTTTTTTTGTAAGAGATGGGGGTCTTACTATGCTGCTTAGGCTGGCCTCAAATGACCCTCCCACCTAAGCCTCCCAAGAAGCTGGAACTACAGGCCCGTGCCACTGCATCTGGCTACCATTTTTCTTACAGTATTTGACAGGGCTGAGATACAGTAGAAGTCTGAGAATAAAAATATGATGAATCAGAGAAGAGTAACAGCACAATGATTTCACAAATTTATACAAAGTATATTAGAAGGGATACTATCTAAATGAGTACTAGAAAGCAATTGGTATGTGGTAAGATGGGAGGAAAGTAGAAGGACTTCTAAGTTGGTAGAAAAGCAACAGTTCAGTGTAGGGCAACAGTACGGAAATAAGTAGGAAAATAAGTTTGACTCAAGTTGTAGATATCTAAAACATCATGAGGTTGGTAATGGAAAAAGCCTGAAAATTTCTGAGCAGGAAGTAATATCATTATCTTCATCATACTCTTTGTAGATATTAGTAATTGACCTTTTACTATGTGCTAGGAGCTCTGCTATGCACTTTTAAAAAGTGTTTTGTTACATTTCTTTTAGAAATAACTCAGAAAAACAACCTGATCATATGTGATTTTTCCTATCATGATAATGTTTTACAATATTATCTCCCTAGATTAGATTCCCTAGAAACATGATTCACATACACATGAATAAGTGAGGTAGTGTCCTTGGGAGAAAGGAGAAGAGCACAATAGGGCAAGAAAAAAGGGAAGAAACTAAGCAATGATGTATTCTCAGCCTGATCCAACTGTATGCTCTGAAACATGAATAAGTGCCCAGGGTTTGAGGTAAGACGGCTGGACTTTGGTACTCCTGTGTTAGCCACTCATTGGCTGAAGACTGCCAGTATAGAGTCAGCAAGGTGTTTAACCTGTGGATGCGGTGGTTTCCATTTGACTAGGCAATTCTCCAGAGAGAGTGACAGCTGTGAGGTGTTAACAACCAATAGTCCCCATGACTGGGGATGAGTAATCCAACTGGTAAAGGGGATATGGGTGGAACATCAGCAGTGTCCACTACAACTTCCAAATAACTGCAGTTGAATGTAAAATACACTAACACAGCAGGATGCAGCAAACCAGAGAAATACAAACTTGGACACAATGCTCACTCATCCCATGTTCTTCCTCTTGGCTCTTTGGTCACAAACTCTGTCTTAGATATATGTACTGCCTGGGTCTTTACTGGTGTTTGTGGATAGTCCCCTTGAGGCCATAACTTTGGAGACTTATCCTTCTTTTCATCTAGATATACTCCTTTCATCTAGATATCTTTATTTTATTTTAGACTACTATTACATATTGAATAGTTTTATTGCTTAAAATTTAACATGACTTTTTAATTGTGCTGTTATTTTGATTTTTACTCTTCTGTTTCCAAGCTTCATGGGTTTTGAATGGTCTTTCCTAACCTTGTTTTTTCAGAAGCTCTGCTGTTTTTAGTCCACGCTTTTTCAGAGGACCAGGTTTCCTCAGGAACACATATACTGACTAATCTAAACAACTCTGCCAAGAGGATAATATTTCCAATTTCATTTTGAGAAAACAGAGGTTAAAAAAAAAATCTAAATTGTCAAATACCAGGGTTGAGGCTTAAAATATTTCTGACTCCAGTGCTCTCACTATGTCCCAATACTACATTCTGCTCTCATGATGGAAGTAATAATTTAGGAAGATGAAGCTGATAGCAGCATACAATTGGTACTGAAGGTTAGAGAGATTACAGCAAGAAGATTAATCGTTGTTATAAAACTTAGAACAGTATTGTCCAATAGAACTCTAAAATGATGGAATGTTCTTCTATCAGTGCTATCCAATTTGGTAGCCACTAGACACACATGATTATTGAGCATTTGAAATCTGGATGGTATTAATGAGAATCCAAATTTTAAACATGTTTATTTTAAATTCATTTAAATAGCCACATATACCTAGTGGCTATATAAACTATATATTTAATAAAATAGAACAAGAAAAAGGAAAATCAAAATGCCAGAAGAAGAGGGCATTTTGCAATTTTATATAGGGTGGTCAGACTACATAACACACACTGAGAAGGTGGCATTTCAGAGAGAATTGAATAAGATGTTTTTTCAAGTGGACAAACACAGAAAGGAGGGTTCCAAGACAAGTGAAAAGGTCCCAAGGTAGCAGTGCATCTCACGTGTTCACATAACAGCAAGGATAGGGTGCTTAGAGTGGAGCAAGTGAATAAAAGCAGATATTGGAGACATTTGGAGGAAGGGAGAAGATTATGTAGAAGCTTGTACATTATTGCAAACACTTTCGGCATTTAATCTGAGTGATTTTAACCCACTAGTGGGTTTTAAGCAGAAATTGTGCATAATTCAACTTTTGCTTAAAGCTAGACAAGGTAGTAAGTTATATAGGAGATAACAGTAGCTTGAACTAAGGTAATAATAGAGATCATGGGAAGTGAATATATTTTGAAAGCGCAGCAACCAAGACAATTTTGTGAAAGATTTGATGACGGATGTGAGAGAAAGAGAAGAGACAATAACACATTTAAAATTCTGACTCAAGTAAATAAAAGAATGAAGTAATCAAATCACATGGTTTGGTGGAAAAGATCAAAAGTTTGGACATGTTAAGCTGGAGATATCTACTACATTTCCAAGTGAAGATGTCAGGTGAGCAGTAAACAACAAGAATTTAAAGAAAAGATAAGTAGATTTGACTGGAGATATACATTTGGGAGTTTTAGCATACAGATAACTATTTAAAGGCAGGGGACCTTAAATAGACACGAGATCACTAGGAGAAGGAATACTGATAGAGAAAAGATCCAAGAATAGAGTTCAGGGCATGCTAACGTGAATCAATAATACTTTGTGACTGGATATAAGATAAAAAAGGGCAACAATTAACACATCTTAACTTTTTAAATTAGTCTATTAGGAAGACAAGAGTATTCTACTGGCCAGGTGTGGTGGCTCATGCCTGTAATCTCAGCACTTTGTGAGGCTGAGGCGGACAATCACTTGAGGTCAGGAGGTGAAAACTCATCTCTACTAAAAATACAAACATTAGCTGGGAATGGTGGCACAACTACTTGGGAGGCTGAGGCAGAGCAAGACTCTGTCTCGAAAAAACAAAAAAAGTGTACTACTAAGATAAGAGTAAGAGTTTATTGAGGTTGACTAGTTTGGAGAAGGGGAAATGAGAGTAGTTTCAGTCGCATAGGCCAAATATTAAATATGTGGAAAAGAATATTGAGAAAGATGTTAGGACTGTTGACAAACATTTGAAAGCCATTTATAAAAAGATCTTCATTGTAACCCAAGGAAAGATTACATATATAGATAGAAGTCTAATTATTGAGTTTAAGAGATACTATTGAGGAAAAAAGGTCTGGTTAGTGAGTTTAAGAGATACTATTAAGAAAACAAAATCTGATTATTGAGTTTAAGAGATACTATTGAGAGAAAGCAGGGCTTCTGGAAAAAAAAATGTTTAGGAAAGACCATTCAGAAGTCCGTTTATTCAAGTTGTGAAGTACATCAATAGGTTAAAAGGGATGATTTATAACCATTCCTATCCCATTGCTCAGTATACTATCTGAGGCAAAAATCCCTGCCTAGAATTGCTTACTTGAGAAAAATTTCCATATCAAAGTTTCAACTTACTTTAAAGAACATTAACAATGCAAATGCCAAAGTTAACTCTGACTTAATGACTTGGTATTAGAATAAGCCAAATAAAGAACACATGGAATAACTTCTAGTTTCTGTTTCTGCATGTAATGTTATCACTCTGTCCTAACCACAAATAAAAAGCTAAACAGACTGAAAAAGCAACAAATTTTCTTGGATCTGTAAAAGAGTGATGACACAGGGTAAACAACTGCCCCGAAGATTGAAGAGACAGGCAGGTGAAAACAGGGAGTTACAGTTTATGGAGAAAATACTCATGAGTGTAAAGCAGTGTGGGAACCACTGTCAAAGCAGAAAAACTTCACCATCAATTGACAAATTGCTAGAGGATCAGTAAGAACAAGTCTGAGAGTTAAAAACTCCAGGGAAGCCCAGTCATTGAGGTCTCCTACAATATTGTGAAACTTACTTCCAGGAGCTCCACCAGTTTGCCACAGTAAATACTGAAGAAAAATCTCCTCATGCTTTGGGAGGGAGAGGAAAACAGGAACCATTTTGAAATACTCCAGAATGCTCTGCATTTCTTAACAAGACTTTCCCTCAGAGAAAACTAATTAACCAAAGCCTAACCAACAGAATCATATAAAATGCTCACTTAAAAAAAAACAAAGCACTTGAAAAAACTAGAAGACGAAAATAAACACAAAGAATAAGGGTAACAAAAATAGTACATATTAATCCAACTATATCAATAATCATTTTGAATGTCACTCATCTAAATGCACTAACTAAAACAGATTGTCAGAGTGGATTAAAAAAATGAGACTCAACTATGTAAGAAACTTTAAATGTAAACAATCATATAAATTAAAAGTAAATGGATGGAAA